AGTATTGTTTCAAGAAGACATCAAGAAAGTAAAGGAGAATCTGGAGAAAGCTCAGACCCAAATGATTCAACAAGCTAACAAACACCACCGACCATCTATATTCAAGGAAGGTGATCTCGTCTCATTGGAAGAAGATGTTTCTCAAAAACTACTGCCTGTCTATTTTGGACCCTGGGAAGTTCCCAAAGTGATTGGGGATTCAGAGGGACCGTCTTATCGTATTGATATTCCCCCTCACCTCAAAACGTATCCTGTCTTTCACGCGTCCAAACTATTACCCTATGTAGAAGAAAAAAAGTTCCCAAACAGACCATCCATGATTCCGCCATCAATGGAAAGCAGATATGAAGTAGATCGGGTCATAGAGCATGGATTATTTTCTATAGGAGGACGTGGACGACCACAGAAGCAGTTCAAGGTACGTTTCAAGTCTCAGTCCCCAGGACATATGGTTTAGTAAAAGAGAATTACTTGAAACTGCTCCTGACATTGTGTCTGCTTATGAGCGTGTGTTAAGGTCTAATTTACTTTTGCGATGGAACTCGAAAATGGGTCGGCAGGAATGCAGTAACCCGTGTTATGCAGCATTCTGGGGGCCCAAAACTGCGCCCAGACGACACAGGCCAAACACGGCCTGCGTCAGTCAGTGTGACCACACACTGCCCCCTGAAAAGTCAAGGGTCAAAGTCAACTGTCAGGTCAAAGGTACCTCGCCTAGGCCCTTGGTCGGATACACTCACTTGTTGTGCGCAGGTACCCAGACAGCATCAAGGCCACAGGGAATTCTGTTGTAGGCCAATCTGGGTCGTCATTTGCGTTGATATCTCGACGGCTGAGGGATGCAGCACCTGGGGTCCAGACCCCACGTCAACGCTACATAAGTGTTGACCTCCTGGCTTCGAAAAACATTTTGTCTTGTGTCAATGCTGACTTCGCGCGTTGACAACGACGCCAGCGCAGCGCTGCGACGCTGGCTGGGTGATGGCTCTACGCTGGCAATTGGGAGAACTACGACGATGCTCTGCTGGCTCGGCATGATGGCTGGCTTGCAATTGTCTTCTGGCATGCTGACGTGGCAGCTGCCACGCGCCGTCGCTGACGTGGCCGTTGCCACGTTTATTATTATTGTTGACGTGGCGAGGCTACGCGGCTGGGATTGCTGTTCTGTTTCGACGACATTCGGGAGGAGATCATGACTATGGGTCAATAGTGGATACGTACCTGGTTATCTTGACGTCGACATTGCTCCAGCTCGCTGATGAGCACTGATTGACGTGCCACGTGGCGCATTGTGATAAAACTTCAGATTCTCGTTCAGATTATTGATTGTTCAGGTGGTGATCGAGGAGGGAGCCCGAAGCAGAAGTGGGCATTGTCTTTTATTCTTCTTTCTAAGTCTATTCTCCCTCCTCTCTCCTTTGTCTGTATATGTTTTTCTCATCTCATTCTATCTGAACACGATAATGATTATTGATAATCATCAGCAGGTTGATATTCATCTGGGCTTGCATTGTTGACAAGAGTCTTCACAATCTCGGTCCATTGCAAAGGACGCACGTACACAGAAATGCCATCAAGGTACACCGAAAAACTAGATCGTGAACAACATTAGAGTAGCTGAGCGTAGAGTCAACTCCTCCTCACCGGCAGCTCCCTACATGTTTCAGCCGATGCCAGTCAGTCGGCCATCTTCAAGGAAGTTAACCTTGACAGAGATGCGTAGGAGTGTCGTCATGCACTACAGTACGTCGTAGCTCATACGAGGGCCCCCGGTTCCTCCATGACTTGTACCATCAGTATTCCATCCGAAGTATCCTAAGTGCACCTACCTTCGTACTCTGCTCGGATTCAGAAAAATGTCATGCCATTAGGGACCGATCCTTGAGATCCGAAACGATAGTAGTTCCCATAGGATTCCTGACAGAGAAGAGGGGAAGAGGACAAAAGTTCGCTCCCTTTGTGTTCACTCACTTGGAAAGAAAAAGAATTCCGAATCAGATTGGAGAGGACTTAGAACCATTAGGCTGATAGGGAAGCAAGCGCAGCACGTAGTAGAATAGCAGACCTTAGAGAAATAGCCGCGGAAGAGGACCTAAGAGAGAGCGGCATGGAACGGAAGGAAAAAACAGTTGGACTGATGATGAGAGTCGTGCGTTCAAACCCTTCAGAAAGGGAAGGAAAAGAAAGGACAAAGGATTCCGAATCAGATTGGAGAGGACTTGGACCCGATAGCGAAGCAACAAGTGCAGCACGTGGTAGAATAGCAGACCTTAGAGAAATAGCCGTGGAAGAGGACCTAAGAGAGAGCGGCATGGAACATAAGGAAAAAAATAGTCAGACTGATGATGAAAGAGTTGCGCGTTTGTATCCTTTAGAAAGGGAAGGAAAAGGAATGAAAAAATCAGAAAAGAACGAAAAAACAGTCGGACAAAGTCGTGAGTTCGAGTCCGAAAGAAAAGGAAAAGGGAAAAAGAAACAGTCACCGGTGGAGGCCTTCCTCAAAAAATGGGCCCCACTTCGCCCATATCCCAGTCTTTGATCTGCCGAAGTTTCTAACTGCATTGAAGAACCAGATATCCGGATACTCCCACATGTGTAACTCAGTCTGCAAGGCCAGTAGACTTAGTCGTGCATAGGTTCCACATGTCGAATGAGATAAAATCCGATTTATGATGCAAGTGATCACTCCTTTCTTCTGACTGGAGGGGGGGTAAGACCCATAGTCCTGAATAGACTGAGAGGTGAGTTGTTGACCATCTTCAAGCATGCCTTGATTTCGTGTGGCCTGCGATTTATGTCCCTTGCAATCAAACTCGCTCTCATTCACACTTCTCATGCATACAAACAGGTGCACAGCAAACTGGCGACAAGCGCCCACTTAGAACTCAGAGATATGGTAACCGAGAACACAGTTCAGATTTGAGTTCACTTCGATGGCTATGGCGACTCAGCGCCCACACAACTCTCTGTTCGCATACACATGATCACCCTGGATATCCCACACGCGATACTCCGAACACACACACACAAATACACTGAACTCTACCTACAACTATGGCGGCTATGGCCTCTACTACCCTATCGCTATGGCTACGCTCCTTCTCTCTCGCCCACTTCGTCCTCGGGCTTACTGCAGACCACCTTGCACAAGTCGCTTGTGGCAGCACTTCCACATGACTCACGCAGGAATGAATGGATGACTGGGCGCTGCCTCTTGATTTATACTTTTGCAGCTCGTTGGTCTGGCCCTTTCCCATGCCCGAAGTGCACACAGTCCCATGCGGTACTTGCTTGACTGGACTAGGACTGACTGGTGACTGGGACTGTTGACTCGACACGGGTAGACTCCACCACTTGCCCACTTACATCACCACTTGCCCACTTGCATCACCACTTGCCCACTTGCCTCAGCTTAAACGTGGGCAACTTCGAAAGGCCACTACTGGGACCTTTCGGAAGGCTATAGACTTGGCCTTTCGATACTGTAGCAGCTACGACCTTGACCTTTCGGGACTATAGCAGCTCGACCTTGACTCTTCGAGAAGGCTACAGCTACGACTTCTAGACCTGATTGAGACTCCTACTCGACAGGTCTACAGATCGAACCCCTGCTACCTATGGACCCTACGACAACCTACCAACTGTTACAAATACACAGGTCACGGGTTCAACTCTAAGGGTCGACACAGATACTGTACACAGGTAAGGTGGGGAACTAGGGATCGAGTCCTGGGATCTCCATCAGCTACTGCGAACTGGTGAATACCATTTCACTCCCGCCGGCCTAAATTCGAGGTCCTTCAAGAATAAATTAGTCCAAGGCAGGACCTTTACCTTTCCGATCTCTCTCATAGGCTCTAACTATATCGGGAGTTGTCTCTAGAAGTTCTGCTCTAGTGAACCAGCGGTCATCCTCGGGTTCTTGATACACAAACTGGACCTTATATTGCGGTCATCCTCGGGCTCTGAACACATCTTCACCTACAATGCCGTCAATGTCATATCTTCCGTCCATATCTGGAGGGATCATGGACCGTCTAGATGGAAATTATTGACTGGTGACACACGACAACAACTTTGATGCGTGAAACACAGGGTAGGTGTGGAGGTGTGCTGGGATCTCTATAGTATAGGACGGCCTATCCTCTCTGCCCTTAACTTCTAGAATTGGCCACGGTCCTCTATACGCGGGCATTAACTTCTGCGAGATGTTCTCCTTAGGCGTGAACTCTTTAGACTTGACCCAGACCAGGTCGCCTACCTGAAACTGCGATGGGCGACGGTGCTATTAGCCTGTTCTATCATTCGGTGATGGGCCTTCCTGAGGTTCTCGACAACAGTGGCTATCTCTTTCTCGTGCTGCATCGCAAACTCCCTAGTACCGGGCGGTAGCCTGTGAATCTGATCCTGGTTAAGTCCCTCAAACGGTCTACTCGGTCTAAAGGACTCGTGCAACTCGTTGGGAGTGCGACAGGTGGACAAATGCACGCTGTTATTGTATGCATTGGCTACCTTGGGTAACATCTCGTCCCAGTTAATCTGATCAGGTCTAATGTACATGCGCATAACTTGCTGCAGGATCTTGTTCATCTGCTCTGTCTAACCGTTAGTCTCTGGATGGCGGCCATATGACATTAACAACTTCGATCTATAGACTCTCATCAGTTCCTTCCAGTTCTGGCTAGTGAAGCGGGTGTCTCTATCACTAACAATAGACAATGGGACGCCATGCTCGCTAACCCAAAAATCGAAAAACTTATGAATCACTAACTTTGTACGTGCCTCCGCAGGCAAAGGGACAAAAATAGCATACTTGCTAAATCTATCGACTATGACCATGACTTGGCTCTTGTCGTGCCTACTCTTGACACCGGCATCCATGAAGTCAATGGAGACTGAATCTCCAAGCTGGTGTGGAATAGGCAAGGGTCTGAGAAGACCTAGAGGGGCACGCGTAGTAGTATTGTTCCTTTGACAGACTTTACAACTGCGGACATACTCTATGCAGTCGTTTTTCATTCCTGGTCATGTGTACGCGTGCATAAGATTGGCTAAGTCTTTTGCCAACCGAAATGTCCCTCTGTATCATGGCATTCCCCTAGGATCAGACTCCGAATCTCCTCACTGTTGGGAACGCATAGGCGGTCTACTACATTAATCTTCTCAAATAATAACCCCTCTGTAGTGTGGTAATCTGGCTCAGTCTCTGGGGCCTCCTTGACTTTCTTGAGGAGGTCACTGTAAATAAGGTCATGCGCATAAGCCTGTCTAACTTTCTCTTGCAGGTCACTCCCTATGTCTAGATAGTGAACTATGGCTCCAAAGTAGTCTGACCTTCTACTCAAAGCATCCGCAACTACATTGTACTTGCCCTTAACTGGCTTGAGCTCAAAGTCATATTGGTCTATCTCAGCGGCCCACCTAGTCAACTTAGGTGTCATCTTGGCCTGTGTCTTCAGCCATCTAAGCGTCTCATGGTCTGAATACACCTTGAAGTGCCTCCCAAGCAGGTAATGCTTCCAATGCTTTAAAGCCTGCCTAAGAGCGTAAAGTTCTCTCTCGTACGTCGATGTAGCTACCTTCTCTGAGGGCATCCTCGCTGACATGAACTCTGCGACAAATGGCAACGACGGATCTGCTACCTTGAGGACAGGGTACTCTATCAACGCGCGCTTCAACTTCTTTAGCGCAGACGTACAGTCCTTATCCCATTGCCAGATCGCTTCTTTCTTGAGCAATCTGCGAAGGGGTGCGGCGATAGTCGAGAAGTTCCTCACGAACTTCCTATAGTAGTTAGCTAGGCCTAAGAACGACCGCAACTCTGTCAACGTGCGGGGCGTCGGCCAGTCTCTAATTGCCGCTATCTTGCCGTCCTCTGGCTTAATGCCATCTCCGTCTAATACGTGGCCCAAGTACAAAACTTGTGTCTTGGCCCACTCGCACTTCTTTGCTTTGATCTTGAAGTTAGCTTCTCTGAGCTTCTCCAAGACCTGCCTCAAATGACCCTGGTGCTCTTGGAGGGTCCTACTGAACACTAAGATATCGTCTAAGTAAACTACGACGAATCTATCCAACCAAGGTCTGAACTGATCATTCATACATCGCTGAAATGTAGCTGGCACATTGGTCAGTCCAAAGGGCATCACTATGAACTCATAATGCCCGTATCTAGTCCGGAACGCAGTCTTGTACTGATCATCAGGGTGGACCTCTATCTGATGGTATCCGGACTTCAAATCTATTTTTGAAAAATACTTACAACCCTGCACCCGATCTAGGAGATCGTCTATTCTGGGCAGTGGTTCAACATTCTTAACTGTAATCGCATTCAGACCCCTATAGTCTATACACATGCGCAACTCTCCTTCCTTCTTGGGGACAAACAAAACTGGTGCTCCAAAAGGAGGCGAACTGGGCCTAATCCAACCTTTCTCTAGGAGTTCATCCAGTTGCTTGCGCAGCTCCTCTAACTCCCTAGGGGACATCCTGTAGACTGCTCCCTTAGGAGTTCTACTGCCAGGCTCTATCTCTATCCTGTGTTGGATCGGCCACGACACTACTCCTGTCGGTGGCTCAATTAAGTCTTTGAACTCTTCCAGCAGCTTGGCAATAGCCGGATTTGTGGAACTATCTTCTTGCTTAGGCTCAGTGACAGGCCTCACATACACTACGAAGACCCAATCCTCTAACTGCTCCTTTTTCACTAGTCACGCGAACGCGGGAGCACTGAGACAGCAATGTGCCAGCGAGTTGTCTACTCCTGACAAATGGAACAAACGAGTTGTCTTAACCTCGCCTGACGGACTAGGGAACCTACACTCATGCTTTCTCAAGTGGAGTGTGGCCCCTGCTGCCTCTCCCCAGTCCATGTCTAGGACTATATCAAACGGAAGGTCATCCTGTACGAGGAGGGTCAGGGAATGAAGAACTTTCTCCACCTTCCCATCTTTCTCTAGGCGAAAATACGCCTGGACGCCCTTTACGTAGTCCTCAACTCACATCGTGCGGTTGTCTACGAGGACACTAACTATGGGGTCTTCCAATTTCTGGACTTCCAATCCGAGCCTCAACTTCTTCAGCGCTCTACGGCTAATATAGCTACGGGTAGCCCCTGAGTCTATAAGGGCCCCTACTCTACTCTTGAAAACTTCTACATCCACTAGTACTAGTTGCCCTTTACTATCTTTCTTCATCTTGGCCCAGGCAGGCATCCTCTCCTTCAATTCCTCTGCCACGCCTGTGAGGGACGTGCCTAGAGAGACGCTGATACAAGCAGTCTCTGGACAACTAACTAGGCACGGACCAGCAACCTCTGTCGAAGGCTCATGTGGTGTGGGAGTTTCCTGTACGCGCGTGCTCGCTTCCCCACATGGCCTAATAGTAGGGGCAGTTGCGACCCCTACCGACGGCTGCCTTTTGACTCCTGGGAAGCCCAACGGGCCTGTCTATATTTCGGACAATATTTTATTATATGGGTCGGGTCACCACAATAGATGCAATGCCCCTGCTCCATACGTTGCTGCCAAACTCTCTGCTCTAGGCCCAGATCTTCCCAGGGCCGGCCTTGCGGCCAACCTGGGTGCCAACCTCCTCTCCTTTGAGGTGATCCTCCACCTCGTCTCTGCGGGGACGACTGGGACATTGACGATTTGGCGAGGGACCTTGACCCCTACCTCCCTCTTGGTAGTTCCTTTGGCCGCCAACCCCCTGAGCGCTCGATCCTCGGCCTCCCGTGGCCTGGCTCCTTTGGCCCTGGCCTCCTCCTCAACTTTGCGGCCTCCCTCCAGCCGCGACAGCAGCATAGGACCTCCCCTGACCCACGCTACTGTCCTCCTCCTCGAGGCCCCACTCAATCTGACTGTACGGGACCTCGTCAGTACCACCTTCTTCCAACGTAAGGATCATATGATCCTTGGCCCTAACCTGACCAGAAATGGTACGCCCTTTCCACTTCTTTCCCTTGTCGTATGTGATGTTGGGCTGTTGGGTCTTGTCAAAGAAGTGCCCTCGTAAGGGCTCTGGCATGGCACGATAAAACAACTGAACCAACTAGGTCTCAGTGACCCCGTGGTCCGGGACGGCTACCAAGTCGTCCATGACAGCTTTGAGTGCTCTCGCACTCCTCCACTGTCGCGAATGGATGGTTTGGAGCTTATCGGAGGCCCTGACGCCTCTGGTGACGTCAACAAACCTCTCGCGCAGGAGTTTGCGGAAAGTGGCGAGGGGGGTAAGCCTGGAATATGCGATCATGTTGTCCTCGCAATCTGCGGCACGTGCGAGGGACCTGGCAAAGCTGGCTGCTTCGTCTTTCAAAGCGTGGAAGGCAATGAGGACTCGTTCCTCGGGGGCAATATGCTGTAAAAAGACATGTATTTATACTGGCCTTCCAGCTATCGAAATTCTCCTCCTTCTTCCTGCTATATGGATCAGAGAATTTTAACTTAACTGACTCTTTGCGGGGACGCGCCGTGGCCTCTGTTGTGGCCACAACTTTGGCGGTCTCTATGGCACCAGCGCAAAACTTGTCTACGCCATCCCTCAATCTTCTAATTTCAGATCCGACGTGGCCCACCACGTCGCTCGCAAAGTCCCTGAACCCGGATCGCATCGCTTGCAGGGTCACTTCTTGACCCTTACGGGCCTGGTGCTCCTCCAGCCAGGCCTCACTCAAGACTTCCGGGAAGCCCATCATCTTATCTAATTTGGCAGAGACCTCTGTCTGGGCCTGTAACTCCTGCCTGCCGGTTCGCACTCGCTCAACCTCCCCGGCTATTCTGCTGGCTTCCTCCCTCCTTCTTTTCTTTTCCCTCATCATCTTCAACTTCCACTCCAACTTCTTCTCATCCTCTATCGCCTGGCATTCCAGGATATCCTCTATCAATTCTAGTGCCCTGGCAAACGCCTCCCTCTCCTCCTGTGACACATATAGTTGTGCCTCTTCATCTTCTCCCAAAGATAAGTTAGCCACCCATTCACTAATCTTCTTCTCCCTCCATCTGTCTTCCTCCTTCTTGCCACTTGCTTCTCCTCTCTGTTCCCCACGCCTTCTTTCAAGGGGCTCTTCCTCTTCTTCTTCCGCCTCCTCTGCTGCTACTTCTTCCTCTGCAGCCCTTCTTCTTTCCTCTTCCTCTAGCTGTATTTGCAACATCTTCTCCTTTTGAAATCTCAACATCTCCTCCTCCAATCTCTTCTTCTTTGCCGCCTGCTCCTCTGCAATGGCCTTTAACTTCGCCCACTTCAAGAGCTCCTTCTTCTCTTTCCTCTCCCTCAGGATGGCGGCAATCCGGGCCTGCTCAGCCTCAGATTGGGGGGCAGTACTCTTCCCACTACGGGTGTCAACCATGGTGATTGGTGCACAACCAGACAACGGTTCCACTCCTCACCACTTAGACTCTACTCCCCCTGACTGACACACCTTCTGACTCAATCTATGGACTTACAGAATCCGGACAGGATCCTGCCAATTAGGATTTCTAGCCTAGACCTACTCTAAGGGTGTCACTACAAGACCTGTTGCTGATCAGGAGTCATTTAAGGAGATCCCTCGTAACTCCTCAGGAATTCTTTAATGTCACGAACAGGACGACGCGATCAGCAGGTATTCTCAACACTTAGACGGCCTGTTGTGCAGCCCACAGCTCGGATTTTGGGCCTTCCGTGCCACACCGAGCAGCCCACCGGTCAGTACCGGTCCTTGGGAGGGTTCGTGTCCTCCGGGACAGTCGAGTCGTCAGACACAGTCTTTAGCCCTACTCAACCCGTGTGGGTTTGGTCAACAAGGCCCTATCCTAACACCTGGACAAAAGAGACTCAATGCAGAAAGAAGAGACAGACAGACTTGACTCAGCAAGTACCACAGGGTGTGTGCACATCCATAGGGCAAGGGGATAGGCTGAAGGCTTGGAGAGATTATACCGGCTCCAGCTTTGTCAAACTCGTGGTCAATGGCCTTGGTCAACGCTCGGTCAACGCTGCAGTCAACCCCCGGTCAACTCCGGTCAACGCCCGGTCAACTCCCGGTCACACCCGGTCAACGCCCGGTCAACACCTGGTCAACTCTCCCGGTCAACTCTTTCGGTCAACTCCGGCTACGGCGGCCGGGTTCACCTTCGTCGCCACCCTTCTCCTTCCTTTCTCCCTGCCTCGCCTCCTTTCTCTCCACCCCGGCTGTCCTCTTTTTTTTTTTTTCTTTTTTTTTTATCGTCTCTCCCTTCACCTCCTCAGCTATGGCTTCTTTCACCTTCCTCAGTCTCCTCCTCTGTCCTCTCTCTCTCCCTCTTCGTTACTCCGTGGTCAAGCTCTGCGGCTATGGCCGCCTCCTTCTTCCTCGTGGGACTGCACGACACACTTCAAAGGTACGTGACAACTAAACTTGTATCGCTCATCTCTCTCTCTCTCTCTCTCTCTCTCTCTCTCTCTCTC